GACTCTTGTTGAACACTAAAGGTCCTAGAGAACAAGGTAGAGTGAAGGAACCTGGACCACCTAGCTTCTTTGGTATCACCTTTCTTTGTATGATAGCACTGCACTCATAGTGCAACTCAACTATTTCCTGAACCTGTTGGGGTCTTTCTATCATATTTTCCTTGTGAGTATCAACCAAGGGTATCTTCTCTTTAAACTCTTTGATGCACTTGATGAACATCATCTTGTATTTCTTGAAGATCCTTTCTTCAATGTGTGCAATTCTTCCTGGAAATGGTAGTTCAGGTACATAAGGAGGTGGAATAGGAATTGGGTTACTCGGGTCATGTGCTCGTTCAACAAGTCGAGCAAAGAAGTCGAGTTCAATTTCTTGTCCTGATTTTACTCTATAAACTTCTCTTTCTTGAATCTCATTGTCCTTAATGATAGAAGTATGAACTGTAGAGATAGCATGAGCATATTCCTTTGGGTTTTGAACAGCTTTGCCAAGAAGTTGGACAGGATGCTTAGAAGCCATCTGGTTCTCAATGGTCTTAACTCTTGAGTTGATTGTATCAATCTTGATGTTTAAATCATAGTAAGAGCAGTCAATTCTTGTAGTGACCTCAGCAAGACTCTTTTCCAAAGCCATGGTGCTTGATGCATGTCCTTGCACGAGTTGCTGAAGCAAAGTCTTTATCTCTGAATCTGGTGTAGAAAGAGCTTGTTGTTGCTGAGTGAAGCCTGGAGGTGCAAATTGCTGCTTAGGGTTGAAGCCTTGATTGTAAAGGGCTTAGCTTGAGTTTGTTGGTTCTGTTGAGGGTAAACTTGATCTTGTGGGTTGGCCACATTGTTGCTTCTATAGAAGAGATGAGGATGAGGAGGCTTGTAGTTATTGAATCCTTTGTTGTAGCCACCTTAATTCTGTAGGTAGCTCACCTCCTCAATAGTCAGATTCTCCCTTTCTAGAATTTGGTTATGCTCTTCCTTTGTAATGAAGTGAACATTTCTCTGCTGAGCAAGCACCAACTTGTCAATCTTATCATTAAGAGCTTTGATCTCTCTCTTGTGCTTTTCCTCAGAATCGCTGCTTCCTCTATTCGAGCGATCATAGTCTTCATTGTAATTCCCATCAGATTGAGCTAGGTTTTCAACAAGTTCCCAACCTTCAGCTACATCTTTGTTGAGAAAGTTCCCAACAAGAAAACACGATTTTTATGACTACATCTGGCATTTATATAAGTAGTCGTAACATTTAGCGACTATTCAGTGACTATTCAGCGACAGATCTACGATTAAAATAAAAGGGACGTTCAATAGTCGCTAAATGACGACTGTTATAAATAATCGTCCATATAGTCGTCAAGTAACGACTACGTTACGACTATAAGTAAGTCGGAGAATTAAGAGTCGCTAATAAGTCGTTAAAATTGTAACAATAATCAAAGAATTTTTATAGTGCTCTAATTAATTAATTAAAAAGGGATATATATTAATGGATATATAGTGATTGAACATTGTTTTTGAACATAAATAACTTTGCTTTGGATATAGACCAAAGTTATGAAAACCTATGATTATTAAAAAATTAATATACACTGCAACTGATTAACGACTAATAAGCGACTACAATCAAAATATTAGGCTGAATTAAAACCCGAGAAAACTTTCGCGGGCCAAAATTAATGAGGCCCAAACAAAGCCCAATATTTGTGTTGATTAGCGAGTGATGAAGAACGAGAATGAAGAATCCTAATTCATTTCTCTTCCGCCTCTCTCTCTCTCTCTCGTTTCTTCGATTCACCCTAATGAATCTTCATCTCTCTCTTTCGTTTCTTGAATCCTTCCTCTAAATCTTCATCAATTGTTCTCCGTCTCCTCTAGGGTTTGCAAACAAGTTCAATTTGATGCCTCTAGCTAAGCGAGGAAGGAAGAGAAAAATGGAACCCAATGTTACTCAGAGAGCTGGAGCCTCTACTCCCACTACGGAGAAACGAATAAACTCTCTACCTCCTCAATACAACTTTACGCCAGCGGACAACAATCCTCCACCTCAGTCATCCCAAGAGCGAGTCCGGGTTCAAGCCCAACAAGCAAGGTCATTCACTCCCCGAGTCTCTGACTATCCACCTCCGCAAGCCCTTTTCTAGAACTCCTCTAATCGTGAAGTCCATATACCTCTTTTGTCAGAAGAACTCCAGTATGAGGCATCTAATCGACCGATTCCACAACAAGATCCTCCAGGTTCTCCACTTCAGAACTCTCATGCAAGTCATCCATCTTCCCAAGGCAACAACTTCCACGAACATGTGGCTGATGTGTTACCGGAACTCCGGGAGGACAGTTTGAGGGCTCTAAATGATGTGCTTCAAGTGCATGGCCGTGAGGCGTGGACCACCGTGCTTTCTCCCACACCGATGCCAAAAACAACTTGGTAAGTACTTAGATGTGTCTTGGTTAGTTGTCTGGATTTGAGTCTCATGTGTAATGGTTTGTTGTGTGAGTGTATTGAGTGTAGTCGTGCGAGTGTCTAGTATAGATGTGTCTTGTGTATTGATTGGATTGTGATTAGATCTGAAGTAGATGTTGATTGGTGTATTGATTGAACCTGAAGGTATTGGTTTGTTGTGTGAGTGTTTTGATTAGAGTCTGAATTAGATGTGTCTTAAGTGTATTGATTGGATTGTTTTGTATTGATTGTATTAGATGTGTCTTAAGTGTTTGTTTTGATGTGTGAATTAGATGTGTCTTGTGTATTAATTAGTTGTTTTTATCTAATCACTTAGATGTGTATTGTGTTTTGATGTCTGGATCAATCTTGTTGCATAATTAACTCATGATTCTTGTCTTTGATTATGTGGACTGAGTAATGGTTTTGATGTATTGATTAGAGTCCGATGCCAAACACAACTTATTAAGTGTCTTGTTTTGATGAGTGAATGTGTCTGTGTCTTAAGCGTGTGTTTTTGTGTTTGAATTAGATGTGTCTTAAATGTCTTAAGTGTTTGTTATGATTAGTTGTCTGTGGTTTTGAGTGTTATGTGTTTGTTATGATTAGTAGCTGTGATTTAGAGCCTCATGTGTATTGGTTTTGATTGTATTAAGTGTCTTGTGTATTGCTTGCATGTTTACTCGGGACACAAATTCAAGCCTGGTTAGGAAGATTACTAAAGTATGGACCAACAAATTTGATGGTCTGTTCTATAGCTGGTCATGTGTTCCTCGGGATAGACGAGAAAAATACTTTCTCGAGTTTGCGGTATAGTTTTCCTTCCTCTTGCCTTAAGAGTATTAAGTTAAGCTACTTTGTTTTCACTAACATCCTCTCTTTTTTATTTGTAGAAAACACACCATTGGGATCCTTTGATAACAGGTACAGTTCAATGGTATTTTGAAGAAATCTGTAAACGAAGGATGAAAGACATGGTTAGCACGATAAGGACTAGTCGAGAGTGTCCTAAATGGATCATCGATTCTCATATCTGGAAAGCGATGTGTGAGTATTGGGATACTGAAGAAGTAATAGCGAGGAGTCAGATATATTCCAAGGCTCGCTTGTCTGACCGTAATGGGCTAAGTCCTCACATCCATTTGTAAGGGCCAAAGTCATATCAAAACATCAAACATGAACTGGTTATTAACTTCTATCCCTGTTGTTTTTTAATGTGTCTCTGTCTTAAGTTCAGATGTTGTATTAAGCCTTGTTCATTTTTAACATCATAGGAAAAAGAGTTAGGAAGGACGGTGAGTGTTGGTGAGGTTTTCATAAAGACTCATACCAAACCAGATGGTACTTATCTTGATAAAAAGGCAGAGCAGATTGTTAAAAATTATGAGAAGAAGCTGCAAGAGAAGTTGTCTTAAATGGAGGCAGAGACTTCAAATGTTTCAGACGGGGAATCAAGACCTCGGGAGCTAACAATATAGGATCATACTGTCATCTTTCTAGAGGTAAAGTTTACATTTTCACTTGCATATTGTCTGCATTTTCTCAAGCTCTTTATTAATGGTTTGGCTATTTTTTTCATAGGCCACAAAGACAGATTCAAGAGGGAACTATTATGCAGTTGGAAGCCTCAAAGATAATCTTCCGGATCTAGTCACTGGAAAGGGCAAACATGCAGCAGACTCTACCTCCTTTGTGTCATTGCAAGAGCAACTGAAAGAAGCTCAACAGATGATTGAAGAGCAGGCTGCTCATAATGCTAGACGTGAGGAAGAGCAAGTCCGAGCTGTGGCTGAACAGAAAGACAAGCTTGAGCACTTGGCCTTGGTGGAAAAGTATTTGCGCCAAACTGATCCAACCTTTCTCAACTTTATGGCTACTCATTCATCTGAAGCAACCACAACCGATCCTATCTAATCTTCACCATCTCAGTCTTAAGTTCCCTACTTCATAACTCTCATGAATTCCTCAAACCTTTTAGTTGTATGTCAAATTACTAGAATCTTGTATTTGGTATGTTCTGGATATTGAATTTGGTGTTTTTTTGAATCTTTTCAGGTTTTTAGTTTGTTTTGAATCATGATTTTGTCTTGTTTTGAATGTGTTTTGGAATGAATTTGGATACAAAAAAAATCAGACAAACTATTTTTTTTTTTTTGGCTGAAACGGTAGTCGCTTAACTGTCGTTAATTGGTCACTATTTAGTCGCTAAATTGTCGCAAAGTAGTCTATACACGAGTCGATATACATGTGATTCAATCGTAACTTAGTCGTAACTCAGTCGTCATATTACACGACTATGTTACGACAAAGCTTACGACATCGAAGATTAGTCGTCTCGTAGTCGTTATTTAGCGACTAAAGTTACAACTATTTGGGTTAGCGACTATGGATTCCCGACATCGGGAATTAGTCGTAACATAGTTGTAACTACTCCTTTAATGACTACTTTGCGACTAATATTGCAGTCGTAAAAACCGTGTTTTCTTGTAGCATTAGAGCAGTATCCAATAACATCCTTATCTTGGGTAATGCTCCTCTGTAGAGAGTACTAAGAAGTGAAGCTTTCTTAAAACCATGGTGGTGAGGGCATTGAGTAATGTAGCCCTTGAATCAGAATTCTTCTGTGTGAATCTTGAAATCTCATTCCTCAATCTAGCTGTTCTTGAGTTAGAGAAAAACTTAGCTAGGAAAGCCTTCTTACAATCATCCCAAGTCTCCATAGATTCAACCGGCAAAATCTTTTCCCAAAGATGAGCTCTATCTCCAAGTGAGAAAGGGAATAACCTGAGCTTGAAGCTATCCTCACTAACTCCATTGATCTTGGTTAGACTACAGAGTCTATCAAAATTATCAAGATGATCCAATGGGTCCTCCATTGGCAATCCATGAAACTTGTTGCCTTGAATCATAGAGATAAAACCACTCTTGATCTCAAAGTTATTGTTCTGAATAGGAGGGGGGACAATACCAGCTCTCTGATGGTGGTTTCTAGGTGCATCTCCAGCACCAATGTTGCCTAGCAACTCATTAACATTCGCCTCATTAGCCATCACTAATGGATCTAAAGTGACTTGTTGTTCTCTAAGTTCACGATGAATCCTGTCGATGTCGTCTCTGTACCGCAGGAGGTTATCAGAACCTTGAAAACGAGTTTGCATACGTTTTGATGTTGTTCAGATTTTATACTCGACGTGCTAGTCGAGTATGAGTACCTACAAAACAAAAATACGCAAATGAAGAAACAAGTGAGTAACCAGAAATAAGTAAATAGAAATTGATCTTAATAATGCAAAAATCCTAAATGTAACAAGAAAAACACCCAAATGGCAACGGCGCCAAATTGATACAGGGGTTTTGTGTGTCAATTCCCTATATGCATCTTATGTTATTGTAGCATTTAAGATGTGTATCCAATTGGGTGAAGTTGCTACCAATAATGATATGATTAGAGAATACCTAGTCAAGCCAAGTCTAGATGATTTGGATTATCTAACAACCTAAGTGATCATGCAAGAAAGTAACTAAATTAAGCATAATGAAACTATAGACCAGGAACTGCCAAATGCAAGAACTAGAAGTAAACCCAGCACAAAGTGAAGTACTCGACCGAGTATAATACTAAATATGGTCGAGTAAAATACTAAAATCACCAATCTTGCACAAGAAACTAAACAGAACTAGTAGAGTACTAATGACACGAGTTTTGCACAATAAAACGAAACATAGCTCTTAAGAATGGGGTAATTGGTTCTAGTGGACTCCTCAATCCATTAGATAACTAACAAACTCAATCAAGCTATCCCTAGACAATAGATTCAAAACCGGATCAATCCACTTCCATGAAAATGATCCTCATAATTTTACCACTTCCTAATCTCAATTTCCATTGATGAAACATAGCAAAGCAGGCTTTAAACACCAATCTATTAAAGTCAATAAGCAGTCTAAACATCCAATGTCTTGGGCTAGAATCTACAAATCTCTGAAATTAGTTGGTTCATATATTTCATCAAACACTTGTTATGTGGAGAAAGTCTGAAATCAATTTTCAATTGATCAGAAAGAAAATAGCATTAAGAACTCCTAAAACAGAAGGGAATCATGCATACAAACATTTAGCTAGCTAAAGAACAGAGGAATCCACCTAAACCTAACCCATCCTCAAAAACTCTGAAGAAGACTACTCAAGAACAATGAAGAACATCATAGAACAAAACCCAGAAAAATCATAAAACCCAAAAATTATTATAAACTTAACAAATCATAGATCTCAATAAGATAAACAATTTTGCAGAAGAAATAAAATTCAGATTCTCAACACAACAACCAGAAAATGCAAAAGAAATCTAAGAACCCTAATATCAATCAGACAAAAGCAAAAGATATTTTGGGCAAAAACTTAAAGAGTCTATTTATAGGAAATACTAGGATGCCTAATTAGAAAAAGGACAAAATGAGTAAGTCGGCGCGGCACCACTCGAGTCTTGGGCGAGTAGAAAAGTCGAGTAGCTTCCCTTTATCACATCACTCGGCTTCAGGCCGAGTATCTTGGTCGAGTAGCTTTCCTCCTTCTTCATGTGTGTCACTCGTCCTCCAGCCGAGTGCCTTGGTCGAGTATCCTCCTTGTCCTCCTTGTGTGTCCCACTCGGCCTCCAGACGAGTATATATGTCGAGTATGGCTCCATGTCCTTTTTTGATCCGCATACTTGAGCTCGTCCATCACCTTGTGCTAGAAACACTCCCAATCGAGTCCAAAAGCACCGGTTTCACCTGTAAAACATTCCAAGTGCAACTATGCTATGCGATGTAATGCAAAATTTGAGAAGGAAGGAAAATAGACTAAGAATGCATGAAAAGAGACATGAAACTAAGTTAAATGCATGAGAAACAAGGGCTTAAAATGGTTAAAATCTAGTGTTATCATTTTCTCAAGAAATATTGACACCATTCAAATGTTGAAAATTCTTTAATCATTTAATATTTTCCTTTTCAAAACATTTTTAAAATTATTGTACAATAATATGTTTGTTAATATTTTTATGGATATGCTAGCATGTTTTGTGTATTATTCTTATAGATTATTCGTTAGTAGATTTTTAAAACAATTTAAATTTTAAATTATTGTTACAATAAAATCTATCAACAATATATTATAGAATTGTAACGCTCTTGAACCGGAAAATCGGTTAGGGTTTGTATTTAAATCGCTCGGTTTAATCGGTTGAGTTAATGGAAACCCTGGAGTGTGCATATAAAAGAAGGAAACTCCAAATTAGGGCTTTAGTTAGCCACTTTTCGTTTTGTAAAGGAGAAAAAGAGAGAGACGGAGAAGGACCAGAATCGTTGGGTTTTGGGAGGAAACAGTTTCGACATATCAAATCGTTGTCAAAAAGTAAACAAATTTGGTAGAGTTCTTCCCAAATCTTTTGTCGTCATTCTCCATTTTACAGAAGTGGAGTTGGATATAAATTCGTTGAGTTATTCGCAGTTTTGTGAGACACGTTTTCTCACACGCGAATTAGAACCAGCGGGGATTGTAACTGATAAAAGTAGGTTCTGGTTGCCTGTTGATCGATTTCGCATACAGCAGAGGTGTATCTGGATCAAGAAGACAACAAGAAAAACACACAGTTAGTAACTGAAAAGAAAATTGAAAAGAACTTGATCTAAGCAAGTCTGAAATCTCAAATGTAACAAACAAACACCCAATTGGCAACAACGCCAAATTGATAATAGGTTTTTAAGATCAATTAATCCTAAAGCACTATCATGTCGTTGTAGTACTGAAGGTTATCAATCCAAATGGGTGTGATGCTAACAATCAAGATGTGATCAGAAGTCACTAAGTCAAGCCAAGCAATAACAGGTTTTGGTGCGTTCTAGCAGTCCTAAGTGAACATGCAGAAAACAGAAAATCAAGCAGAAACAAATAAACACTCGACTGCACAGCTCGTTTCAGAGCACTAGGTGTGGTCGAGTGACAGGTCGAGTAACAGACAGATAATGTAACAGGAATACTCGACTGCACAGTCTATTGCCAGACAACTGGGTGGTCGAGTATCAGGTCGAGTAACAGTAAAGAATTACAGAAACTAAGCAACAGATGACAGGATGCAGTACACAGCAGTAGAGTAAACAATAAAATCAATCAGATAAAGATGCTCAATAAATTAACCCTAGACAACAAGTTCATTAACCAAATCTAAGTGCCACCGCAACAGAGACTCTCAAGCTAACCTAGTCCCAGACTCAATCACCATTGACGAGAGCTAACCTAACAGGCATTACGAATCAATAAGTTAAAGCCAAAACGCTCCCTGCAACCAATACCTTGGTACAGGGTCACGAATCTCTGGAATTAGTGGTTCAGACATTTCATCGAACACCTTTTGGGCGCGAAAATGTCTGGGCTCAAATTCCAGTTGATCAGAAAGCAATAGACATTAAGAACAACTAATCCAGAAGGGATCTATCAACCAATACTCAATCACCTAGCATACTGAGAATTCTACACTACTCTAACCCATCCTCAGAAACATATTCACTACTCAGACATCATAACAGAAAGCATAAACGTTGAACAAATTGAAAACATGATAACAACAATGTAACAACAGGATGATAACAGAATGAACAACAGTAAACGAAATCAAGAACAGAAACTGAATACTGAATACTGAATAGATAAAGAGAAATCCGGATTACAAAAAGTCTAGAACACAAGGTCTACGGAAATAAAACTAGATAAAAACTTCTTGTCTGCGAAAGAGTGATGGTCAGAAGATGGAGATGAAGTCACTCGACCTGGGGGTCGAGTGATGTGATCGAGTGGTGGTCATGAGATGGAGATGAAGACACTCGACCTGGGGGTCAAGTGTTGTGGTAGAGTGGCGGTGTCTTCTACTCGACCTGGGGGTCGAGTGGTCTCTTGAGATCTTGAAGCTCCTACTCGACCTTTGGGTTGAGTGGTTTGTCATGATCAGGTCCGCTTCTTCTAGTTAGCTCGTCGACAACTCCAAATCCCCTGAAAACAACACAAATATGCAACATGCATGCAAAACTATCCTAAACATGCAAAGTGATGACAAATGATGTGAAATGGTATAAAACAGTGATGATATGATGCTAAAATGATGACAAATGGATGCTCAAAACATGCAAAATACACACTTATCAACTCCCCCAAACTTAGTCTTTGCTTGCCCTCAAGCAAACAATCAAGAACAAGCTGGAAGTGAGGTTTGAAAGCGGGGAGTCAGAGCCGAAGCACCAGATAGACCAGATGAAATCAATGTCCAAGTTGAAAGGTCTAAGCTGCAAGATCGAATTCTACTTAAAAACGTTAGCCATGCCTCATCAATCAATCAATCCGACTCATATGCTCGACCTACACAAGTTTTCAAATCTACCAATCCCTTTAACATTCATTAGTTCTGGAACGTGAATCAAGCAATGCATCATCAAAGAACTCATTTGGCTAAGGTAAAAGGTCAAGAGACAAAGATGGTCCCTTATAGAATAGCCTTCAGTAACAGGAGATCTCTCAAAAAAAATGATTAAGCTTTAGTAGAATGCTAAAGGTAAGTCCCAAGCTATGCATACAGAGATAAGATCCCATCTACCCAGAGTATAACAAATGAAGCTCTAATGGTAA